CCAGCTAGATCAGCACAGGAATTTGTTTGATGTGCTTAAGAGATTGGTAACAATAGCTCCTAACGTGACTGTGTTGCGAGGTGACAGTGTTTCCTTGGAGACAGTGAATCCATAGAGCCCCAGCCAGGATCCTTGCAGAACCTCTCCTCAGAAGGGGTAGGACTACCTCTCTATGCAGAGGCAAAGATGGGAAGATAAGCTTTGACTGTAGACAAGTAGCCTTATGCAAGATGTGAGGATTCCATGCGACAGCAAGACATGTCTGAAAGGTAGGAGGGTAAAAGAAAAGAAGTAGCTGTGGTCATCGCAGAGCTGGCTTGACATGCTCTGACAACAAAGATAGTGTTACAGGATTGAGTGTCTTTTTAAAAAGTACCGACCTGTGTTGCTGATGGAGATCGTTGTGCAGTGGAAACAGGAAGAAAACTGGGGGGGTTTCTTGGTATCACGGGCTGATTGCTGGAAGACAAAAGTTATCTCAACAAAGATATATAATTTGCTGTAAAAATGTGTGAAAGGCACATTGATTGAGATCTGGAATTTGTATTGTTGCAAGTTAGATCCGTGAAGAGCTGCATGGAATGTTAGTTAATATGCTAGGAATGTATAATTATGGTGATAAGACCTAATTATGTTAATTATGTCTTTTGGGGGGGGGGGCAATTTTATGATGCATAAAGCAAGATAATTGATGATAGAGCTAACAGCAAGGATGCATAGCAGCCATAACTTACAGGTGTGTTTCTCACTAAATTATGCTCAAAACAACCGCTTCAAAATGTTGCATAATGTCTCATAAAACTCCTATAAAAAAGTAATTGAGAGGTAATAGAGTGTGGAAACACTATGTCCAAGTCCTCCACTATTCAAAGTTCAGAGAGTTGTCATAATAAATGTTTGCATACAAGCAACAGCTGCTGCACAGCAGTAAATTGTGTGCAATTTGAACAAAGCACAGCCTGAATTCTGAGTGTGCTGTCTTTTAAATACCTATACAACTTGGTTTGTAAGCTCACACTACAGTTCATTTCTGTTGATCAGCTTTGGCATGTGCAATTGACTGAGACAACATAAATAAATGGGTGTTTGTACCATGCCACAAATATGCAAGTGGTTTGGACAGATCCATAACCACGTCTCGTAGAGCCTGTGGAAAATCAGCAGCTCTGACATAGGGAGAAGAACTCTTTGCTTTGGGAGGACGTATCACCCTTTTCATCATTTCTTTGGTGGAGGCTTTTTTTTTGTCTTAAGTATAATCTAAAAATACACTAGATTTGATTCCTTTAGAATGCTCTGTGTTTTTACTTCTGTGGTAGCAGGACTGAAAGAGCTTGGAGCACTTTGCTGTTAAATAGCAATCTGAGCAGACTCCTACTGAGCTCAACCACAAGCCTTTCCATCATGTATGTTCTGTAGCTTGGTGGGATGTAAAGCTGTAGAGAGCACCACAGGAATTCTGACTCTGTATATGTGAAGAGGTAGTATAAATAGCCCTACTCCTTGTTCCCAAATCCTTTATCAAGGGTGTTTCAGATCTACAGGGGAAGCAACCATGGTTCAGTGAAAAGTAAGCCTGCTCGAGGCTGCTGACCCATGAAACATAGCTGGGGACAAGACTACTGGAAGCTAGGCCAGACCCCAAAACTGCTCAGAACACTGGGATAAAAGCCTTTTAAATCCCCAATGCAAGAATTTTCTTTTAACCTTCTTTATCTCTACTCCTCTTCCCCTGAGCTTTCCATTTGCCACTTTTGTGAGGCAAAGCTGAACCTGTGCTGTAAAGTCTAAGATGTTTATTTATGGAGGCTATCTGTTGTATCAGGAGAAAGGACTCTTGACTGAGAGTCTTTTTTTAATAGCCAAATATCTAAAATGACAGGAGGAATGTTTTTGACTCAGAATATCTTTCACTGCTATAGTTTCAGAAGTAGCTCGGCTATAGCTCTTTAAAGCATTTAATGGTCTTTTAATAAATTCTACCCTTAAAGTCAGCTGAACTCAAATGGACTTGCACTGCAGTTAGGAAATTTATAGCATTTTGTTGCCTGTGAGAATTTTGCCAAGCTGTCAGTGGGAAGAGAAGCAGACCCATTTCACAGACACAAGACTGATGCTGACATCTTGATAAAGTGTGACTTTATCAGTGAACTCTATAGGAATGCATGATTTTCCAAGATATGGCCTGATATCTCACAAATCATTTTTATGAAAAATGCAGTAGCTGTTCTGTACTCATTCCTTCCAGTTTACAAAATATTTACGCCACTTAATTCCCCACTGAGACTTCCACTGAGGAAAATGCGTAAGATAGATTGGGTTAGTCATGAGTATTTTCCCTTACCCCCACAGTCCATGTCCTAGAATTTGCTAAGCCTGGCTTTGCAAGTGAGCAACTTCAGCTAGGTGGGAGAAATCATACTCCGACCAGCTGGAGCTTGTAGATGTTTAATGTTGACTTGAGTATTTTGAAATTTGGTACATGGATTTGGTATCAGTGGCAAAGCTGTAGCCACGACACGAACAACTAGACTGAGGGCCAGCCTCAGAAATTACAAGTTGGCCACATAGAAGATTTTTCTCCTTTACCATTTTGTTTCCTTTCCAATCCTATTTTATAGGATTCTTAAAATACAGTCGAGTATCTCTGCGTAAAAGGCATCATAGACACCCGCCCCCACCCCACGAAGGGAGAGAATGGAGGGATGGATGCTATTGCCGCAGAGGGTTTCCATTAGTGAAATTAATTCCTCTCTCATAAGAATTTAGGTCTATGATTTATGATAACCACCAATTTCTCACTGCAGGCAAAGTGAGAGGAAATGACTCAGCCTGGACAGACATCATGAATCTAATTTTTTTCCCCCTAATGCTTGACATAATCTAGTGTGCTGCTCCCAGAGGTGTCATTGGAGATTCATATCCAGCCGAAGGGCCTCACCATCAGGGCAGAATATTTTGTTACTTTCATGTATTGTGTGATCTGTAATTGTTTGGAATTGCATCCTGCCTCATTCATTGCCATTGCTTTTGCATCAATTTTGCAGCAAAGTAGAACGGAAGACAAAGCAAGGGAGAGAAAAGCGGTGTTGCACTTGCTCCTTCAGAAAAATCTTCTGTGACATACTGTTAGGGTCCAGCTGGTGCTTATTAAACCCGGGCAGTTTTGAGATGAAAAATGCTTCCTTCTGTCCTTCTTTCCAAGAGAAATCTCACTACCCACCTGATGGGAGAAGTCTTATCTATCCATATCTATTCTGAAACTTTATTTTTTATTTTCTATCACCCATACAGAATTTTGCAAGTGGATTTCTGCCAAAAGATCAGAATAGATATCATGTTAAATGGTTGAGATAAAATATTTTATCCCATATTTCAAGGGGTGAAGAGTATATTCATGCACCCAGCAGAGGAGGTAGTATCTAGCCAAGAGGGAGGTAGGTTTGAAAAGTCTTGCCATTATAAATAGAGATTTGCATACATCATAAAAGATCACTTCCGAACCTAAGAAGAATAACAGATCATTTTCTTAAATATAAAGGAATTTCTACACATTTCTCTAGTACAACCTCTTTTAACATACAAGGGGGCAGAATCAGAAAAAATACCAAGACAGGGCTAAGCAAGATGTCCCAGCACTTTTTTTTTTTTTTTCTTATATTGACCAAATGTCAATCTTCTTTTCACAGGGTGGCTGTGTGTGTGAATGCCTACTCATCTGGAGCAGCACACACACATGAAAATGGTCTGTTTGCCTCAAGATGACCACTAAAAATGCCTAAGTAAATAGCTGTTATTTTCAGAAATGCTGAGCTCGCTCAGCTTCCTTTCAGTCACCTACACGTTGTTGTGGCTGTTTGATCTCATTAAAAAAAGCACCTTTATGATGTGAAGGCATGAAGGGAGGAGCAGCTCCCTATGTCAGTTCTGTTCTGTGCAGTCTGCATGCAGCTCTCAGGCAAAAGCCAGAAAAGGTCTAGTACTGGGTTTGCTGATGCTTAAAAAAGGCAAAACAATCTCAGTAAGGTCACCAGCATACGTCTCTTCATGATTATTTGCCAATAATCTGTAATCATAAGTTTTAACTGATGTTCTATTTAGCTTGTCTGTTATACTCTGTATGAAACTTTCATCACTATCCTCACTGGACCATTTTAAAGCTGCATTTTTATTCTCCATTTCTGCTCCTGACTTTAATTGTTTTAATGATGCTTACTGACAGCTGATACTTTCTGGCAAGCTCTCACCAAGCTTGTACAGTAAAAGTCAAATTATAGTGCTGTATGCACACACTTACTAAATTAAAATGATTTTTTTTAAGTATTCCGTGGTAAATTTCTAAATTGCTGCTGCCAGTCTGTGAATTACCCAATCTCTCTGAAGCACAATTGGAGAAATTGCATCATTTGGGGTATATAAAATGTACTTTTTGAAAGTGTCCTTAGGCAGTGAACTAACAAAGCACACAAGCTCATGGCTTCAAGAATCTGTTGAATGAAGTTGAACTCTTCTCTGGAGCCTTAATATTCTACTAAAACATCCTCAAGGGATTAAAATAAACAGGCAATTGGGGTATCTTTTCATACAACCTGGATCCATAAAAGCAGAGCTATACAGGATAGAAGGGGACTTATGCTATGGAACAAATTTTGTTCTTTATTTTCTCCAAGACTGATTTTTCTAACAAACTATTTCCTCTTTCTAATGTGTAGACATAACTGTGAAGACTTTGTATGTGTAAGTAAACAGTGCATAGGTAGAGAGGTCCCAGTAAGGGACTGGAGGGGATTACCTGTGGTTTGACCATAGGATCATGTGGCTTTTGTCTGGTGCTAAATCCTGCCCCTTGCTACTCTGTATTTTCAGTTGTTATAAAATAGTTTGCATTTCTCTGTACAGAATCAATTGCTGGTTTAACATATCCTCTCTAGTTCCTCAGGTCTGGCTACAAGCAATCAAAAATTCTGTAAACCCTGTTCATCCTGCTGCCCTGTCCTAAGTGACACACAGAAAATTCCGCCAGTTTTATCACAAAACAGAGGAATCATCTGGCAGAACTGTGATTCCAGGCTACCTTTCCCAGTAAGTGTTTGGCTTACCAGTCTGATTACAAGGTTATAGAAGAAAGACACTGACAAAGAATGGCTAAGGCAGAAATCTCTCCCTCAGCTTTGAAGCTGAGAGGGAGAGATTTCTATGTTTTGCCTCCTTTTGCCTTCCAAAGCTAGGTCAGATTATAGATAAGATTATACGAATTGGTGTCAGCAGTGGCAAGGGATTTGACTCAGCCTTTGAGCACTACACACAGGACTGGATGCAATGGGCAAGTATATAGTAAGTCCTGAAGAGGCTGTGTACATTTGCTGTAAAATGTCACAACCAGGAGTGCTGTGAAAGGGAACAATGCAGATGTTCTATGAGAAGATCTCTTTCCAATATTTGAGCCAATTTGTAGCAGTAAACCAGAACATGCTGTGGTTAACTACACCTAAATTGAATTCCCACAGCATTTACCAGCTTCTGGATGTGGCTGTAACTGAAGGGGTTGAGTCAGAGATGGGGACTCTATCTATTCTCATGCCTCAACTCCACTGTCATGGTTTCCAGTGAAAGAAGTGCTGGAAGTTGAAGCAAATGCCAAGCTGCGTTGCTCTGAGAGGTTCCCCCACTGTAGGCAATCATGGTGCTGTGTCTGTTGGGCATGATACAAATCACACCTACTCCACACACTACCGACAGTTAGAGACTTTATTCCTTGCTCCCTCCTGGGAGGCTGATGCCCTGAAAATTGTAGTACATGCTTTAGTCGAAAAGCAAAATGGGCAGAAACCTCATATTCATATAGGGACGTAGTTTAGTGGTGGCCTAGTACTGCTGGGTTAACAGTTGGACTTGATGATCTTGAAGGTCTCTTCCAACCAGAATGATTCTATGATCTGATAATTCTATTTGTGACTACAGTGGCAAGTTTTCTGTATTTAGAAATTGCATATTGTATATTGTGTGTAAGCTTGGCCAAAACTGTGTTAGCATGCACATATGTGTACAAATCCATGCAACTGTATCCTCACTTCTATACACTCTTGCTATTCACCAGATAGTGTTAAGACAGAAGACATTCTAAACGTGTATGAATATTATTTCTACCATAATGAGACCAGAAATATGAGAAAATACAATGCCAGAAATTGAAAAACCTTAACGGATGTTTTATATCTTTATTTTGCCTTTTTTTTTAAGCTTCCTTCTGATTCCTTCAAGTATCTCAGCTGGTGGGACATAGAACAAAATGATGTTCGAGGAAATCAGCTTCGTTGTCCTCGAGTGAGAGAAGGTAAAGATCAAAAAGACATATTCACATTTAAGCCTTATCTCTATTTACTCAAACAGTATGTCCTTAGATGTTATGAGCTTAAATCATGGGGTTTGCCACTATTTTGAAAAGGGGCAGGATTTCACCCCATATTGTACATGCTGACTTTTTTTAATCACTAGGAAAATAAACTTCATAATATTGAAAATGAGAACCAAAAGCCAGAACGGTAAATTGAAATTTTTTAGTAGTAGTGTTGTGGCAATTATTCCTCTTAAAATTTCATTAAGATTTAAATACTGTTCAGAATGCAGTAGCCATATGCCAAACAAGAAACCAAGAGTGAAATCCAGTCCTGCAGACAGCAGCACATTTGTTTTATTTTAAGACTGAACTGGCCCAATTACAATCTATAGACACACTCAAGAATAGAGAATGAAAGGTGGATTTTAAAATCCAGTGTTCACATGTTTTGGACTAAAGAGTTGAAAAATTCCACACTGCCCTTGTTTTAGTTAGGAATTTGAAGATATCCATAGCTCTAAGTATTTCACTAGATCTTAAGACTTAAAGTCTTCAGTGTGAGTCACTAATATGAATGAGGTTTCAAATGTGGTTATTGGTCCCAGTTGAAGTTGTTGTCACTGGATGGGAAGTTACAAACACCCCCCTTTCTAGGGACAATTAAAGGATAAGTACATAATCGTTACATAAACTCATAGCATGTGGACAAACATCTAGAAACAGTATTTTAGAACTCCAGTGCTTATGCTTAACCACTTAGAAAAAGCTTCCATTCTGAGCTGTAAAGAAATGTCACTTACTAACCACGTACCAAATCATCATGACCTTCAATTGCTACCAGAAATGGTAGAAAAATCTTCACATTAATTTATGTCTTAGAAGCCTGGGATCCTACACACCTATAATATTATATATATTTCTTCACTTCAGATATCTTCCCAGTCATATATATAATCTTTCAACAAGTGCCAGTTCCATATCACATCCATAATTGTAAATCTTTCTTTCTGAGCAGGGCCTTCAAAAGAACAGCTATTTTTCAGAGGAGAAGAACATACTTTGAAAAGAAGAAAGCAAGTAACTGACACAGAGAAGTGGCAAAAGAAACTGCAAGAGAACTGGGAAAACTGCGCTGTAAAACTTTCTCATTAACACTTTGTACTGTATGAGTAAATAAGCCAAATAATAATAATGTGCCAGCTGCTCCTTGCAGATAGCAGTTTTAAAGCTCAGGCTGGCATCATGACATTGTAAACCAGAAGGTGTTTACAAGCTGGAAGAAACACTGGAATATATTGTAATTTGGGTTCATGATCCTGTGCAAAGAGTAAACTCCTCTGTTGTCACAGGGCTCCCTTTGTGCTTGGCCATATAAGAACTAACAACGTTCTTTACCTGCTTAGTGCCTGACGGTAAATGAATGATAGAAAATGGAGTAGTTTAATTTCAGCTGTTACTTTTTCCTCATAACCTGAGCTATGAGAATTGCCTGAGCAATTCTTTTGGTTTGAGGTACTACATTACTGCTGATTCTGATCAGTAGTGAGCTATAACCTCCATAAGATCAGGTAGTAACTCCATCTAACACTGGCATCCAGCTCTCTGGATCATGCTGTCCCTGTGCATGAACACTGGGGAATATTGATATCTGGCTATGGTTTCTTTCTTCTTCACTTTCAAGGAATTATACAGTGCATCACTATGATTCTAAGGTGAATTGGGCAACTGGCACCATAAACTGATGCATAATAAACCAGATTCACCTTTTAACTAATTCTGACATTGAAAAGATTTAATGATATAGTTATTGGAAAGCAAGGAAGAAAACATAAGTGATTTCTCTTATTTTTTCCTTTCCCAGGAGTTGAACCTTTCATTTCAGGACCTGGGTGACCTTTACCAGGTGGAAAACTTCAAAAGGATTCTTCGAAGATTAATTCGCGTGGAAAAACTTTGGTTAGTGGACAATTCTTTGACAGACCTAAGTGCCATAAGGTTGCCAAGGTAGGCAGAATGACCTGTTTCTATTTTTATGCAATATCATAGAAAGGAAAACTATTATTTACCTCAGTAATAGCTGGAGTATACTCTTGAGAACTGCAAAATATGATATATTGGGGGGTATTGTGTTGAGACTCCATCAGTATATTGCTATTCTGAGTTCATGTCATTCCTGAATTGAAAATACTTGGTAAGAAGGTCAGGTGACATCTCTTTTATTCCTTTTTATTCTCTTTTATTCCTGGGGGATAATTAATGAGTCTCATCAAGTTCCGTGATATTTTTGCTGAAAGGGAAAGTTGCTGAAAACTGAAGGAATGTATATGAAGAGGTGGTGGAACATAACCCAAACAGAAAGGCCGAGTGTGACAGTGACAATTCAAGTTTTACAGACCATCTGTTGCTGCTGTGTTGTCATGTGTCTAGGTATATGAAAAGCTGTAAAAATTAGAACAGGAATGACAATGTATCCATTGTACAATATAATGAAAGATGAGAGAATAAAGTGTAAGGGTCTGATCTTGCAGTCCATGGGCAGGCAAAAATAGCACAAATGTAAGACTAGTGTGAAACCAGGTCTCGTGGAATCAAATTCTTCTACCTCTCATTGGAAGCCATGAATTTGACTATCCCAGTGTTGGCCTATAGGTGTATACTTTTATGGTTGTGATCAGTGATGTCATATGCTTTGTGCTTTACAGATGCAGAGAACTAAATGTCAATAAAAACCACTTTACATCCTTGAAACAGCTGCCAAAGACACCTCAGATTCAGCACTTATCACTCGCTGAAAATAACATTATGACACTAAAAGGAATATCAGACTTCAGACATACTCCACTTGAATCTCTTATCCTCAAGAGGAATCCCTGTGAGTTTCAAGAAAGATACAGACAACTGTAAGTCTTACTATCTCATGGCTGCAAAAGTTGAGCAACACAAAGAAATGTTTGTGAGACAATTTAAATGGAATAGGATCTCAAATACAGCAAGCCCCCTTGAGCAATATCTTTATTTTCCTGTAGTTTTAGCTATCATAAAAGTTGAAGCAATACAGGCTGGTGAGGCAGTATCTGATAATCACCACAAAATATTCAGGAACTGCCTAGGAGGCTTTCTAACCACATGGCTGGTAGTTCTTGAACTGAACTGAGTCCATGGATCGAGTTTAGAAACAGTGAGTAGGGCAGATGAAATAGATTCCCTTTTATTAATAGAAACTACCTATTACTCAATTGCTCTTCAGTCTCATTGCATCCCTGGTGTATTCTGAAAGGAGTCTAAATTGCATTACATGTCAGAGATGGAATCAGAAGGATGTGCTGAAAGATGGGAGCTAAAGCAAGAGAAAACTAAGTTACGTTAATTTGATTTGTCTGGATTTTCTCCTCTCCCTGTGACAGCACTGTGGAGGTTGCGCTGCCTTGAACACCCCACTCAGTGTAGGTGTATGTCACAGGCAGTGCAGCGTACTGTAAACTTAACAGAGCTGCCTTGGACACTGGAAATGAAAATTCAAATCCAAGACAGAGTAGAGGATTCAGGGGAAGGTAATTGATTCTAAGTCTCATGCTTGGTTTGACACTCACACTCCTATTCCATTCTTCCCCCATTCCTTTGACTCCAAAACCCTGTTGCCAGGAAAAAAAAAAATTGCATGCACGTCAGAAAAGGGAATAAAGCATGTTCCTTCTAAACTCTTCAAAAATCTGCATCCCACTACAAACACAGAGTCATGTCAGCCATCTACTGAAGGCATTGATGTTGTTTTTGAGATAAACCTTACAGCACATGTCTAACAAGTCATCTCTTCCTAGGAGGGGGAAAAAAATGGGAGAAATTTGAAAGAGTGCTTAATGAGAACCTCTCCAATACAGTTTTTCCTTCAGTGTAGTAGGCATCCCTTTGACAGTGTGATGGTGATGCTTATGCTTGCTAAATGTAGACAGGTAGATGTCAAAATGATGGTTAAAAAGTGAATTTAAAATTATGGATTTCACAGTTTATCTTCATACCAAAAGGTCCGGGAGAACAAAAGCTGAAAAGCACTTTCTAATAATTGCTAATAATGTTTCCACTCCAAATCCTACCAGTTGTTAAGGCAATTAAATATTGTTATTAGTCGGATATTACTTTCCCTGCCAGTGTTGGAAGGCAGAATGAATCATGTTCAAGCATAGCTAAAGCCCTGAGTTACCTGCCCAGACTGAGCATCGGTGAGTCCACGCTCACCTCGGGAGGCACAAGACCAAATACTAGAGCATGTGGGTTAACACCCTGTGCAGTGTTTGAGGGGGCTGTGGCTCCCTTAAACTCTTCTGGAGAATGTGACATCTTGACAACTGAGGTTAGATACTGGCGTGCTGTCTAAAAGGGACAGTACATTAGGAGGCAGAGCTATGCATTTCAGTTTGGCATCGTGCCCACAAACCAGGGACTTCTTTTCTTTGGGAGACTCAGAAGTGCAAAAAACTTTGCAGAGACCCCACTATGTTTGTCACAGAAGGATAAAGTTGTGTGGCACTTCTTGCAATTTGAATCTTTGCTTTTCATCAGTCTAGGAAATTCAGTCTAGGCTAACACTGTGTCCTTTCCTTTGCATTAGACAGCTGGTTTGATTCTAGTCTATTAAAAACATAGATACTTGTACTGCTTTACTGAGCCTAGGATATCAAACTTGTGCAACAGAGTGAAAAATTAAAATTTTAAATTAGCTCTTTACCAGATACATTCTTTAACAAATGGCAAATCAAGGTTTCCAACAATACAAATCTATTTTGGATATGTTTGAATCTGCTGTTTGGTTTTTTTCATCAGTCTATTTTGTTCTCAACATTTCACAAGATTATTTATCTCAATTGCTGTTTTTCTTTTGTCTCTCTCTCTTTAAGTGTATTCTCCAGTTTGCCAAATCTGAAGACGCTGGATGGTATCCCAAAACTGCCAGAAGACTGTTCTCCCCCAGATATCAGGTTTATTTTCAAAATGTGTACTATACTCTAGCACTGTATTTTTGTAGGATTGCATCTGTACTAGAATCACCCGACTTAGAAGACAGAATAAATCCTGTATGTGGAAGTTACTGGGCTTTTTTTTGTGATCAAAAAGATACTGAAGCAGAAATAGAATTCTTTTGAATGCATTTGTGATACCACGAACTTCAAGTAAGTATGGATAAATTACGTGTAAATAAGACGCAATGTGTATGCTGAGTGTCAAGAGTTTGTTGGCTCTCCCTTAAGAGTGTCTTTACCTTTCCCACACCCCAACAGTCAAAACAGTTGATTAAAATATTGCACGAACTAGATCACAACATTGTGAATGTGTAACAGTGTCTGGCTCGAAGTAGTTTCTACAGCTGTGAAAAGAAAAGGACAGTGAACCACCACACAGAGGTGTCAGATTGAGGGCTCACACTTGGGAAATATTCTTGCAATTCATAGAAGCAGACCAGATGCTTCCCACTATTTACATGCTCACAGGGTTTGATAACTAGATCCAGCCAGTGTAGTCTACCCCAGCAATATGAACAGACCACGCCCTGACAAACCCCTCCATAAACACACGACAGAACCAAGAGGGTCCAGTTCAACAATACACAGTGACAAAGTCTGGCAGGTTCAGAGAGAGGTGATGTGACTTACACAGAAACAACAGGACAACCAGAGCTCTGAAGCAGAAAAAGCAGAACATTGTTTTTGTCAGCATGGCAAACTAGTCCAAAAGAAGAGGAATCTTTCACACGGGGAGGGTAAGAACAGAAAACCTGAAAGCTGTCTGAGGAGTGAGGCTGGTATTCTACCTCAGATCTAGATATTAATCCAGATAGAGTATAATGCACTAATGAACATAAAAAAAAAAAAAAAACCAAACAAATAAACAAACACTGTTGTGTTTGTGAATGGAAAGGATGAAAACAAAGAATGAAATACATTCTTTCAACTGAAGATGTATATGAGAAAACACAATCTCCTTGGAAGCAAGGTCAGGAGCGCAAGCAGAGAAGAAGCAGAGCCTGAAGGAGCAGCCTCACTGAGCCAGGCAGAGCCAGACAGCAGAGAGCAGAGGCACACTGGCTGCTGTGAGGGTGTATGTCTGGAGACAAGGAAGGGAAACAGCCTTTTCCCAAGCTACAGGCACTAGGGAGCATTCAGAGCAGCAATGTTCAACTCACAACAAAAAGCACTTGAGGACTAGGCTCTCTTCCCAGAATTCAGCATTAGACAGCAAGACTGAGATGGGAAATTGTCCCTGTCCTGTGGGTAGAGATTTCAGTTAGGAGCAAACAGTGAAGCTACCGCTCGCTAATTGCACATGTAATTAGGAGCTGGTCAATCCTCTCCAGGGAACATGCTCAGAGGCTTTGCTCTGTAGACCTGACTCCTGGGTCAGTCACAAGAAGGAGGCACAGACAGTGATGTATTATTTCCAGACAGGAAGCTGGTTCTACTCTTATAATTTTTCCTTTCATTATTTTAATGGTCTGGTTTTGGAATCCCAGAAAAATACGAGGTAATATCAGGGGAGCCTTGCTGATTTTATTTAAAGTGCATCCAGGAGCAAGAATTCACGAGTGATGCTGGAGTCACTTTGCTGCAATGAGATTTAAATGAGATTTTCACTGTTAGCAATGCCACATGGGAAACTGAGGGGGAAAAAAGAGCAATTAGGTTCCAGCTGGTTGACTGGACAACAGCCATGAGACTGAGGGAGCACGCTGGATACATTTCAACATTGCTGGTCAAGTAGAAACCCCAGCAGCAGGAACCTTTTGAAACTGGCCTCAAGTTCATGCCAAACCAGGGATAAATTAATATACATTTTAGGTTCTAATTAGATGATTACTACCTAGCTTCCTTTTCCTGGCAAATTTACACTCAGCTTCACTCAAGGAAAAATAGGCCTGTGGCAAAATACTCTTCAGTTGTACTCACTTGCTTTTCCAGTTATGTTATGGGGTGGTCTAATCTAGACCTAATTCATGACTTTAAAAAAACCCAGAAGGAAAGGAACAGCAGTAGAGCCTTGATTTTGTTGGAGCTTTTGAGATTTCATCTATTGTGATTGCACTCTGAAATCTAAATTAATAGCTACTACCTGTGAGGTCAGTATCAAAGTATCATTAAATCAATTTCCAGTTATTCACAAAGATTCCTTCAAAATGGGTTCTTCATGAAAATTCAGCAGTGTTCCCAATACCTAATATCATGGAACAAGTCCAAGGCTGGCAGAGCTCAGAACTGAGTTCCCAAGTCTGATTTTAACTGTCTCTTCATTTCTCATTATGTCTGAATCTCTCAAACAAAATAAAAAGTGAGCAATATAAAATCAAGACTGATTCCTTAAGTGAACAGAGAGAAACAAGACTTTTCATTTATTCCATTTATTATGATCCCAGGAATTCCAGAGCAGGGTTTAAACCTGAAAATATTACCATACATAGATCATGGAAGCAACCAAAGTTGTTACAGAACAGAAATCATCAACTACTGATGAGCATATCAAAGACCCTTTGCTTGTATACACATTAACCTTGTTAGAACAAACACCCTGTGTCCATATTGGTCGAAATCATTTAAATCACCCAGGAAACAAAGACTTTGAGCCAATATCATTCAGGACTGTGCATTGCAGCACCAGTATTAGATGAGAATGCAGTGAAGAGGAAATCAGTGGCTTGCCAGTCTACCTTTCAAAAATGTCTTCTTTTAGTTCCTTACCCTGAACTTCAGGGGCTGGAGAGTGCTTCAGAGGTGAATCAGAACTGATCAGTTCATCCTTCAATTCATCATCATAGATGTTAATGCAAATGGCTCAAGCCCAAATTTATACACTTATACGGAGTAAATAACTTGTCAGTGATTTCCTAGAGTGCAGCCTGGTTGTGCTGGAGCACACAACGGTTACAAGGACATCACAAGTGACATCCTGAGGTCCTTGTCAGCTCACAGGTCGCTGTATCTGTAAGAAGTTTGCCTGGCACAGACTTTGAGCAATACTGTGTGTCCAGCCCTGGGTGACGTGGTAGATCAGAGTGGTTACTGCATCACCATAAACCACCAAAGAGCTGACACGGAGGGCTGGGCTCTGACACTCTGCTGAGTCTCAGTCCATAGCAGGCTCTGCTTTGCCTGCTGCTCAAGACAGCTCGTCCTCCATGGACCAGCCCGCACGTTCCCGTGGCCAGGGAGGGGACCGGTTTCTTTGGTCTGTCCTGGGTTCTGTTGCTGGTGTTGGTGTGTCAGTGACACCAGGACAGCCGTGCTTTCAGGGCTGGCTCGTTCCCCCACCAAACACAAGTGACCGCCAAAGTCCTTCCCACATTAAATTCAACAGCAAAACGTCCGCTGACTTCAAAGCTGCAGAAGCAGAGCTTTAGTGTGCTGTGTGGAAGGAAGGAAGAAAGGAAACTACTCACAAATTTGGGGTCACATTACCAAAAAGGGCGCTGTGAGTCTGTTAACCTTTGAGAAGCAGAACACTCTCCTCTTTCCCTGGAGAACCTCTCTTGAAAATCAGACTATATTAATTCGTTTTATTGTTTCCTTCCTGACTGATTAAAATCAAATACCTTCTGGTGTATGTAAGGCAGTTTTCAATCACTGCCACTTAAGTGTTTCAATGTTCAGTAAAGAACCTTCAGCATTTTTCATGATTTCCTTGCTATCAGCACTAAAAGAAAAAATTAATTTCGTGAATATACTGACTGATGTTTTGATCTGTTTGGATGCGTGTATGAGGCACGCAGAGGCACACTGGCAGGAAACATGGGTGGAAATAAGCTATTAAGATGTCCCAGAGCATTCATTTTTCCTTTGTAGTCTATCATCCAAGATACATTTGCTTTGGAATTGCCAGGTACCATGCTACATTATGTAATTGAAAACATTGAAGATAAGGAAAGAAGGCCAATGACAACATATGCTTTGGATAAAAGCAGCTATAAAAATAAACATAATAACCAGAACAGGGACAAGACAGGCATAGACAATAATAACAAATTGAGAATGACCAGAAAGTTCATGAATGGTCAAGCTACAGAAAATGGTGCAGTCAGCCTTGGGGAGTGAAATCCAAGCCAATTTTTTTTTTCTTTTTCATCCTGATCGTCTTTTTTTTACTATGTGTTTACATAATATATTTCCCATTCTTACTTTTTTCATTCTAATAGATTGCTATAATTACCCTTTACAACCTGAGCTCTGAACCAGTTTAAGGATGGTGCTATTAAGAGGAATGGATGATGAAGTCAGATGTTTCTTTGATGCAATTTTAATTTTCTGTGGACAATGTACAAAGTTCTGTTTTCTGAACTCAAGGAAGATCAAACAAGAGGCTGCTTCTGTGCTCAGGGATCCAAGCCTTTCTTCAGTCACTCCTTACCTCTCACCTTTTCTCAGCATTATGCATTTTGAGCTTTATCTCCTGAGGTTTATCTTGCTGCTTTTTCTCTGTTAGGTCACTCACACTCTTGTGGCTGCAAAGACCTTCACATGTTGGGCTAGCACTCTCCATGAGCCCGAAGCTCTAGCCCAGGGTGTCTCTGGTTGCTCAGGCTGCTGCAAGCATTTCATTACCCCCCAGACCTGGCTGTTCTCTCCTTGCTTGTGTCTCTGGTCCTGCCCTGCAGTTTCTCCCGGTTCCACCTTCAGGTCCACAGCTGCCTTTGCTATGTTTGGTATCATGCAGGCAAAATGAAACTGGTGGTGAAACAAGAAGTTCTATGGGTTTAAATAATCGGACTTCCATTCTGTATGAGCTATCCCTATTTATCTTTAAAAGGCAGAATTCTCTGTGAGGACAGATGTTTGAATTAGGGGATGTTATAGAGGAATGTGTCCAGCTCAGAGGGCATTTGAAATCAGCAGTGTCTAAAAGACAAAAGCTAAGGAGCTTAGACCTGCTGCATTTCTTCACTCAGCTTAATGTTTTACCACTGGTTCTAACCTGAAGTGTTCGCAGTCTGTTTTGCTCTGCTTTTTTTTTCTTTTTTTTAAATTGTCTTCCTTTAAACATTACACCAAATACAACTATACAGCTTACAGCTATACACAGCTTAATCTCACAAGGG